GATAAATTCGATTAATTTATAATTACTGCAAATAAAAATATTCATCTATAATAATGATACATGTTTGTTCTACTTTAAATAAGCTTTTGGAATATCACTAACATAAAACTCGCAGAATTGGATTGTATACCTTTTTTTTTCAATTTTCGATGGTTACGGTTTGACGTGCCAAAATTTCGCGATAAACTTTAAGTGTTTGCAAACGTCAATATTTACAAAAAATATCATTCAAGAAAATATTATAGTACAGCTGATACACTGAATTATGTTTTCAGTGATTTTCAGTTTTTTTTTAAACAGAATACATATTGAAAAAAAATAAAAAGTATGTTAAACTCTCTAAGCGACACTCCTGAAAAGTCGTCAAACGTAGGATTGAAGTAAGAAATGAAGGTCAAAATCAAGTTACTGGCGATCAAAACTGTATGTATTTTAAAGTTAGTAATGCATAGTTACTCCTGTAATTTTATTAGAATTAATTTTCCCTTATTATGTTATATATTTACAAGAAAAGTTTGAAGACACCATAGGTTAAAGGTTCTAGAGATTTGCCCATATATATATATATTTATATATATAACCCAATATATATTTATAATCAGTAAAAACTAAAATTTCATCTGACTTTTGACTTTAATAAAAAATTGAAATAAATATTTAATGGTTTTCCATGTTTTTATAATAATATTAATAGAAAGTGAAATTAAAATTGTGTATAATTATAAAGAGTATCAGTTACTTACCCTAGGAAAATGATTTCATTTTTAGATAAATAATTTTAATATGTTCTTGTATAAAAAGTTTTAGCTTATTTTTTAAAGCCAGAAAATAAAACTGTTTAAATTTGTTAATGTATCACTTAGTAAAAAGAAGAAAAAAAAGAAAAGTTTCCTTTGAATTTTTTTAAACATATGAATTAATAATAACCTGTTTATTAATATATAAAGCATGCAACTATATTTGAAAAATTGATCTTTTCAGACTATATTATTGAATTTCTATTTTATTTAATTTCATTAAAATATTACTTTTTGAAAAAACCCACTTAAAGTTTTCAATAGTACCTACTATAAAATTAGATTCGAATTCCTTTTACTTTACAAATATTAGAAACTTAATTATATAAATCCTGCAACTCTATTTGACAAACTCATGCTGTACAATAAATTATATAAAATTAAATGTGCAACAATAAGTTTTAATAAAATTATTTTTAAAAAAAACCCACTTATCATTCCAAGTGGGTTTTTTCAAGGTGGGCCCACCCAATAAAACCCGGGCGGGTTTTTTCAAAGTGGACCCACTTGGCGAACCCTGAACTTGACAGAAAAAAAAGAGCTGATTTTTCTTTTATTTGAACTGACATACATTTTGAAGTACTATGTTTACCTAAAAATGACACCACTAGACAGTAGAAACACTGTGATTCCTTTTCAATGTAATTAATATAGATTTAGTTTTTAGAGTACTAATTGTCTTAAAATTCAATGTGAAATATGTAATACAATTTAAAATTAGCCTATTTTCTTTGAACAAATTATGAATAACCAAAAGTTTCTTCCAGCATTATTTTCATAATACTCCTTTAGGAAAATGGGGATACTAATTAAAGAAATATCAGTTCTTCACTGTCTTTTTTTCCCCTCTATCTTACTTAAAATTCTTTTTTTCTTTCTTTTAAATATTAATGCTCTGAAAGATAAACGTATTTTGTTTGAAGTTAATATTTTTTAAAAGTATTGCCTGGTGTGAAATTAAAATAAGAAATTGCCAGCTAAACAACAAAATCATCTATTCAGCAAGGAACAGTAGAAATGGTTATTATTGGCAATAAATGGTAAATCTTTTGTGTTTAATTTCAGAACAGGTTATAAATATAAAGGCCAACTATTATATATTTCTCTATACATATATATTTCTCTTATGTGGCACCATGCACTCTAGTTTTATTGAATTAGTATCCATTGGCAACACTATAGCTATTATTTTGTTAGGTTGTCTTAGGTATTAAAGTATTGTTAAAAAATTAGTTATACCATAATTCTCAGATTATTTGTTTGGTTGTCTTAGGTAATATATATATTTTTACAGAAGTAAGAACTTAAGTAGTACAGTAGGGAACCGATTATCCGGAACGGTCGGGACCATCGCTATTCCGGATAACTGATTTTTCCGGTTTTCTGAATCGCTACAAAAAGCCGTTTTTTTTATTGTTAAACCCAACTTAAAAAAAAGTATTTGAAAATAATCTTAAAAAGAAGAAAAAACGATGAAGTGATACACTAATGATTATTTCCAAAATGATGGTAAGGTAAAAATCTTTCAAAAAAGAAAGAAAAATCCTAAAATCTTATGAGGAAAAAAAATATTTTTTTAAAAAAATGGCGAGAAAATTTATCGAATTTCGTTCCGGTTTTTTTGGTTTTCTGATTTCCGGATAACGGGTCCTGTACTGTAGTAACTATTAAGATTTGTCTTTGATCCTTGATAATTTAATCGGATAAAAATCGTTTTAAACTGCACAAGGAGATAAATTCAAATTTTTGAAGAATCTAAATCACACAAGAATCATTTCTCTCTTTTTAATATTATAATTGATTACCTCTCAATTCACCATTTGGAAATAAATCAAGTTTTTTTTCTTTTTAATACAAAAATGTTAAAGATTCTGAAAAAACACTGTGGTTAAAATGGATATTTCAAATAACTTTTATACAATTCAGGGAAGAGCCCCCAATTCAACAAATAAAATTTTATTATTTTTAACTAAGGTAAATTAGACAAAATAGGTGAGGTTCTGTATATCTATGGGAGAATGGTATGTCTGTAATCTTTTTTTAGCTACGTAGTTTAGGGCATCTCCTCATAAAAAAAAACAGCCCAACAGTGCTGTAATACATTAAAATTTTTTTTTTTAATTCTTGATACTTTATCCCCCCTCCCTCTATACTATCTATAGACATAAAACTATCAGATTAAAATAATTGCTTTTATGCTAAATAATTCTCTTAACCATCTGTAATAAAATGTCTAAAAATATTTATCAAAATGGACAGTAACCTTTTGAGAAAAGCCCCTACTCAATCTTACTTGTAAAAGCATCACTCACACACAAACTGAGTTTCCCAATGAATTCAGTCAGTAGAACAAAAACTAAAATGTATTAAAAATGATGTTCATACTTTACGAATATCAAGACCATCATCCACTGTGTGTTTAAAAGGCCCCATTTCAACTTCCCTTATAAGTTCTTTCTGAAAAATTAAATGTTTTGATCTGCATGAAAATAGTTTTCAAAAAATATTTTTTTTATTATAGATTATTTCATTATATTTGGAAAAAGTTGTATATACATACTGAACATATATAGAGAATGAAAAGAAAAAAAATTATTGAACAAAAATATTGAATTGAATTTCGTAAAACAAGTGAACTTATGCACACAGTTGATTAACGGTTGCTTACTCCTTTTAAAACATTTTTATTAAAATACTGTTAGATAAATATATGCTAAAAAGGGTTTTTCTTTATTTGATCAATTGTAATAAAGTTTAGATATTTTTCGGTTTTATAAAACCAGTTTTCGGTGATGTAGCGATCTCAACTTGCTTCGGTGACTTCATTGTCTACGCGTGTTCGGCTAGTCTTTCTTTCTTTCTTTTTTTTACTTGCTGTAGATTGATCAAGCGTAGCTCATGACGTTATCCTTTATCTATAGTACAAGAGTACTTAAGCTTCCCATGACGACATTGTCGCAGAACGTCACCGAGTTCTTGCAGAAGGATTTTTTTTGGAGGAAGTAAAAAAGAAGAAAAAAACTTTTTTTTCTGCAGAAATTTTCATAAGATTTTATCTTCTTTTCAGAATTATATCCAAAAGATGTCTTTCTCACACATCAGAATGGAAAAAAATAGTCGAGATTTTTCTAAACTCATTCGAGAATAATGAAATAAAAAATTTGGTTTTCTTTTCTGTAGAAATTTTTGTTTAAAATCTTTTATGCAGTTATTACTATTGATTTACACATTAGTTTTCAAAATCTGATATTTTTAATATATTATTTATTACAACTGAACCTCGAAATAAAAACACACATTTAGTAACTCTTTTTTGAACAGTCTGATTTGCGTGATTTCGTCATCCACCCCCCTTTTTTTTCACAGTTATGCGAAAAAAAGAAATAATAAGCGTGTTTTCTCCCTACAAAATATGAGAATATCGCCCATAATAAAGGAATAAAAAAAAACATTACATATTTAATTAAAAAATTTTTTTATTTGATCCGAAATTTTTTTTTAAAGTTAACGTTTCTGTTACTTTAATTTAGTAACATGTATGTTAGTTATTTTTAAAAGTATTCTGCAGAAATATATTAGTATTAGAGAGGTATGTTGCAGAAAGCCCAAAAAAATTCTGCCACAGGGCTTAAGCTTCAGTTGAAGACTATTGTGCTTGTATTCTAACTTTACGTTGTTGTTTTGTTACTCTGTTGGTCAGAGTGCAACATGCCTGTTATTTTAAATTTTAATATGTTTTTAAATAAATCGTTTAAAAATGGAAACTTTATTTTTGTTTCAATGAAAGTTAATATTTAGTTGCACCGACATTCTTACGACTATTTCGACTGTCAATTACTATCATTATAACTATTTTATATAGTTCAAGTTATGTAATAAAAAGAATGTATGGTACTTTCAATATACACTATTGAAGTTGCAACTTTTTTAGCAGTAATAATTTTTAATGAAAGTTGTAAAGGGTTACTTATAAGTCCGTAAAGATCGGGCGAAATTTTCCATCATGGCTTACTAATTCTGTTACAATGTTTATGTTTTGTGTTTCGAATAGTATTTTCTATTTAATATATTGTTTGTTTAATCTATTTTATTTTTATATATGGTCTAATACTTATTTTTTTATTAGATAGTATGAGTAGGTGTATGTTTTGCCTAAGTCCTTTTGCATGCTCAGTTGACGGCAGGCCGATAGTCTTTGGAGCGTGCTCAGAGGGCTTTTTTTTCTTCCTGTTTACTTATTCTGATGCTAATTTTCTAGGAAGGAGACATGACATCTAGTTTTAAATTCACTATTATGCAAAATTAATAAATGAAAAAGTGATAGTTGAACACTTGACTCCTCTTCATATACACTCATGGCAAAGTAAAATGCTAAACTTTTTAAAAGATATAAATGATGAAGTATGACAAGAAAATGAAAAGAATTAAAAAAGGTTCATAAAAAAAACAGCATTTTCACTTACAAATTTATCATCATATTATAATTTAATTTCGGTCATTGTGCCAAGGTCATACAACAATGCTACAAAACTACAATACTTAATTTACTTACCCTGACTTTTGTTTCATTGTATAATTCAGGTAAAATAGAATCCAATAAATCTCTGATTAAGGAAGGTTTATTGTGAGCTGCTGAGTTGAAGGCTACCAAGGCAACTCGCCTCACATTTAAATCTGGGTCTTTTAATGTTTTTAGAAAATCTCCTATACAACCTCGTAATAAAGAATCAATAGGTTGCGGCTGAAACCAAACAAAAGATTTGTCAATCAAACTGAACATATAAAGCAATATTAATGAAAATTATACATCTCATTCAAAAATGAAAAGGTCACACCCAATATTAAGACTCTCTTCCAGTGAGTCAATTACTTCATTAAAATGGTATTGTGGTGTAACTTACTTAAGGGGATGTGTTTTTTATTAAAAATGAATTTGTGATCTGATATTACAGTTATATTTTCATACAAAATAGGGAATGATGAATACAATATTTCATTACAGAAAAGAAGAGGGAAGTCATTAGATATTAACTTTAGTCGTGAGTCGCTGATAAGGAAAAATGGTAATCGTATAAAATTCTGAAGAACAAAAAAATTTTATGTAAAACAAGAGGAATTTTGGCAGTAAAACAATTGAAAACAATAAGGCGAAACAAAAAGCATTGCAGAACTGCACGAGAGCACTTAAGGCTAATATTTACGTGAATTTGTGTGGCATCACTTTCAAAAAGAAGACTTATTTGTACGAATTTTAAAGGCCATTAAGAAGTTTTGGCTGCTGGTATAACGTTTCCTTCTTAAAATACCTTTTTTTTTGTTTAAATATTAATAGACTGAATTTAATATATTTTTATGTTTAGTTATTTCTGCAAATAAACTGTGCCACATATTTCATTGCATGTTTTACATTTCTTTTTTTTTAAATAATTAACCTTTTGTTTTTATTCTCATTAACACACTAGTTACAATATGAAATGATTTGGCAGAAAGAGAATATGTTTAAAGTACACATTATCCACACTGCATTATTAATAAGCCTGACACAATACAAATAGAAAAAAAATTCGAGTCTCGAAAGAAAAAGACCTCTGAAGAGAGGCTTCAAAGTTAGAATAAAATTTCCATACTCATCAAATAAGATAATCAGCATTTCTAGTTTGAAGTTTATGAAATGTAAAATCAATTAGACAATTCCACTTCTGCTTATTCATCTCTACAAATAATTTGGAATAATTTTTATTGCTTAACGATAAAGAAACTTTAACATCAAAATTATTTAAACCAGTCATCTTAACGGATGCCAGGTGGTTAAGTGTTGAAGCTTCGTAATTCTATCTGAGGAAGGGAAGAGGTCAATTCAGCCCTTCAGTGGGTTGATAAAATGAGCATGCTTGGGGACTAAATATTAGTAGGGGTGAATGCGAAACAAAATGAAAAACCCTGAAAATTTAATGTGCAAAAACTCGATAAATTTTTTTTTACTCTACATGTTTTTGAACTAAAATATGTAATTAAATTACCTACCAATGATGAAGAATATAACACTTTTATAGTAACTATTTTAAGAAACAAGAATCGTGAAAATGGATTTTAAAATCGAAATACAATCACCTAAATACAAATCTGAAAGCGTCATTTTAAAATCACATATAAATACGAAATTTTATGTTACAAATGCGTGGATAAGAATCGTAATATCGGATTTTAAAAATTTGTGAATGCAAATAGCATTGCTGGACTTTTAAAACACGTGCATACACATTGCAATATCTGATTTTTAAATTATGTGAATGCAAATCCCGATGAACGATTTCTAAATTGCGTGAATACAATTCATAACGTCACTTTGAAATCGGGTAAATACGAAAATTGACATACGATATTAAAATCGTGTGAATGTGAATAGCGATATTTGCGAATTTCAGCGTGGTTTTAAATATTAAAAGTTGCGAAAATTCTGACAAACTAAAATAATAATATTAGCGAAATAATTACATGTATAAAAACGTCTCGTTAATGTGACTCTGCCAAAGTTTCGAGATTTAAATTTTTCATTGCAGAACTCACAAAATTTCCTCGCATTTTGATTTCATTTGTTTCGATTCACAGAAATTCATGAATCAATGATCTTCAGATGTGAGGAATTTCGTGAAATTCTCAAAAAAATGACATGCTCTGCAACTACTTTCTAAACCTAGAAGGAAGATACGAAAACACTGGAATTCCATGATACAACTGGAATACAATCACCCCTGCAGTAGGGGTAGCAAGTTCAGCTGACCACCCAACCGAAACATCTGCCTTGAGCCTCAGAGGACAAAGTAAATAAAAAACTGGAACTGTAGGGCTTGTCTCTCCATGGGCTGTTTAGTTTTTTTAAAGTACATGCTATTGAAATTTTTTTTTTTACCTGATCAGATATAGTGAATTTCATTGCAGTGACAACAGTACTTCGTGCAAGAGGAGAATCTGAGGAAAGATATGCCTTTAATTCAGGTAAGAGGTGACCTGGGTCAATTAATGTTAGTTTTCCTAAGCATTCTGCAACCACATTTCTTGTCCCTTCTTCAGTACATTCACAATGATTGAATAACATCGACCTAAATAATACCAATAATGATACTTTACATGATACTCATAACAGAAATATTTTTTTCTTATATTGACCTTTTTAGGTTTTCAAATCAAATTTTTATTACGTACAGCAAAAAAATTTTTTTTTCAATATGCAATCACATAAAGCAAGATTTTTTTTCTTCTTCATTTCAAAAATCTCTATTCTAGTATAATAACATTTAAATACATAGCAGTGAAATTTACACAAGAAAAATTCTTTACACAATAATTTGCTTTGAATCTTAAACTCAATTTATTCAGACTGCTATTTCTGCAGGTAATTTTTTTTCTATATTTCTAGCAGGATCTTTCTAGGTTTTGTAAAAGATTTTAAAAAAAATTCCGAAAATTCTAGATTTTCTTTGACACAAGAGAATCTTGATTTCAAATGGCAATTATTAATGTTCAAAATCTAAGGAAAGAAAAAATGAATACTTACCAAACATTTTGAATAAAAGGCTGCAGTAGCTTAACAGTAGCAGGACTTGCAGACTGGCAACTAATAATCTATTTATAATAAACAAATCAATATAATTGTTTTAATAAAAGTATATCAAATGTGAAAGTAATTATTTTACCTCCTTTAGAGAGTGTAGTAATAAATATTGACGCTTTGGCTGATTTTCTATTTCACTCAGAACAAAAGGGAGATACTCTGGTAAATTTCCAATAGCAACACTTCCTGGAAAATTTAAATTCATATAAAAAACATCCTCATCTTATCCATGGAAAATAAGTCAATAGCTAGTTTAATACCTAAAGCAAATGATGCAGCAGTTTTAACTTCCTCACTTTGTGATGAAAATGAATCTAAAAGGACTGTTTTCAGTTCAGGTATACTGCTCAAATCACTACAAACACATAAAATGAAAGAATTTCCATTAGAATAAAATATACATACATACATAATAATAATATATAGATACACACAGTAAACTCCCGTTTAAGCGCAGTATTGAGTTGCCCAGCGTGGATAATCAGCAAGATGCTAAAAAAAAAAACATATTATAAATGTTTTTAACATAAATGAAGAATTTTAATAACTTTTATTATCTATTATCAGCAGTTTTCTTCACATATTATTCTTTGTCATTATTGCTGCATGAAAAAGCCTATCCACTTTTTTGTTTTTTGGTGTTGGAAAGGCTGAAATAAAAGAGGCACTCATACACTATTGAAAAAAGAAAGCACAAAACGATGTTCGTAACATGTGAATTCTTATAAAGAGTCACTGTGCATACAGTATTTTCAGATTAGTAACATAACTAAAATGAAACAACTGACAACAATTCTGAAATCATGCCCATAAATTATTCTAACACCAGATTCATTCTTTAATCTTCAGGGGTGTATCAGGAGGACCCTACTCATTTGTTAGTTATCAATTTTATAACTGATGGCAAGAATGCTGACTAAATAAATGACTGAGGTTAATTTATGAATATGAAAGCAAGATGTAAAAAACATTGCTTTGAACAGATCCAGTAGAAGATTCTGCTTTGTTGGGTTCCTCCTACATTTATACTCTTTATGAATGCCTCACCATTTTCATGCTTCTTTTTATGCACTTGAAGCTGCAATGATTCACTGATGTCTGCTAGTACATTGTACTCAAGACTTTTAAAATAGTTGCATATTTGCGAATTTATTTATTTTCAATTCTATATGCTATGAGCTGTTTATCATTCGGGGGGAGGAGTTAAGTTCGGATGATCTGCTAAGTGAAAAATCTGGAGTTTACTGCATACATATATAAATAAAGCAAAAATAAAAAATAAAACTTACATATGTTTTCCAATTTCTCCCACAGCCAACAAAGCAAATAATTGAATACTATCAACATTTCTCTTGCTCTGAAATAATTTTTAAGTAAATATAGCATAAATTAAATTTCAGGATAAGATCTTTAAGAAATCTTTAAACATTTTTTAAACATTAACTAACTTCTAGGAAAAAAGGCTTTTTTTAAGAATTTATGTAGAGCAGGAAAATTGCTTTAAACCATTCATTCTTTGAATTGACATTTGTTTGTTACTTGAATATTTATTCTAGTAATTTTGTTAATCGTTAAAGAGTAATTAATATTTTGTCATGACAATAGGCCCTTTAGTTGTAGAGGAAGTTGGATACATTTACATCATCCATTTCCCAAAACATTTTCTTTTATTAAAACGTAAAAAATAAATTTAAAAAATAAATGAACATTAAAAATTTTCTCAATATCTAACACAAAAATGGGGAAGAAAATTAAAATTCATAACTGCCACTAGGATTGGGTGATGTAAGAAATATTATATTGTCATACATCATCTGCTAGACATGGAGATACATCACTGTATCGCGATTTAGCATATGTTCAAAAATTATCTATCAGAAATCTTTAAATTAATCAAAAATAAATAAGAAGAATAAATCTATTGCAAAACAAAATGTCTTAAGTAAAAATAAACCCAAGCTTTATTTCAAATTTTTTTTTTTTTAAATTAAAAATGACTTAAGATTTATTGGTTTAAAAACAATAATAAAACTAACAAAATATTTTACATACATGCATTAAAAATTAAAAGGAAAAAAAAAAAACTAAATAAATGTTTACTTTAGCAAAACATTTTTTTAATTACTTGTTGAAAAAAACCCTGCTTTTAAAGCATTGTCAGATCTTCTTTAATTTATTTATTTAAAATTGCATTAATGGTCCAGTTCTATACTTAATGAATGTAAAAATAAATTTAAGTTTTTTATTTATTATTATTTTTTTTAAAAATAAAATCGACTAAGGATTTATTTGTTTAAAAATGATACTGACTGTCTAAAAAATTATGAAACAAACAAGTATTGAAAGAATTTTAAGAAACTTTTCTAAAAAAAAAATACCTTTAAGTGTTGTTAAATTATTAAAAAGTGTCAAAATATTGCTTAACTTTTTATTCAATTAAAGAAAATATTTGTTTTAACGAATAGCCATATTTTTTTATAATTAAAAACGACTGAAGATTTATTTGTTTAAAAATAATCACATTTTATCAAATTATTATACTTACGCGCATTAAATAAATTTTAAAAAACTAACTTTTTATAACAAAGTTAAATACAAAATACCCCTATTAAATTGTATAGCTTTAAACGAAAAACAATAATTTAAAAAAATATATAAAAAAACAAATTGAATCTTTGTTATTCATATTTTCTTTTCATTAATAGATTGAGTTCAGAACGAAAATTTAAGATATCAGTGATTGCGCAACGATCGCCAAGTAACAGTAGGTCTACTAAAAATAATTGACAAGAATCGTTAAATACCGACAGACAAAAAAAAAAAAGATTAAATAATGCACAATGAAACGATCGGCAAGTCTCACTGAAAATCCCGACGAAATAAAGTGCACAGCGATCACAAAGTAATGCAAGTCCAGCTGAAAATAATCTTCAAGAAAAGTAAACTTCCAAAGACAAAAATGGCACATAAAGAAACTATCGTTCTATTTCAATGCTGATCCTCGCACGAAGCCGGGAGTTCTGATTCAATTCGCTTTTCGTTATTCAACATCACGAAACTAACATCGTCTTTGTAGCTAGACGCTATCAACAGCTCCACAGCTAGACGAAATCAAAATAGTGTTCGGCAGCTCGGTGACAGTGTTAGCATAGACAAGGATTCTCACATGTTAAATCGCTAAACTGCGAGCGTTGTCTTATATGACGGCTTAAATCAGATTTCTAATGCATCGCCTAAAACGAAAGTCACAACCAGCGGCTAAAATCAGATTTCTGATGCATCGCCTAAAATGAGAGCCACTCTCGGCAGCTTAAATCAAATTTCTGATGCATCGCCTGAAACGAAAGTCACTACCGGCGGCTAAAATCAGATTTCTGATGCATCGGCTAAAACGAAAGTCATTATATTGACCTGCCGATACATGCATTAAATCGATATTTCGCGATGCATCGATTTATAGCCCAGTCCTGACTGCCACGATGGAAATGGAAAAAAAAATCCATTGGATTTTACAAAATTCTGTAACATAACATCTAAAACATTTTAAACGCAAGACATTTTAACTATTTATTATAAATATAAATTCTGATTATAATAGGCATCAAATGGACTTGAGTATTAAAGGTTTTTCATTTGAAATAATTGTAATATATTCTTTAACAGGGCTCAGCACAGGTCAACGTAGAAAATGTAGTAAAAAAAGTGACTAAAATTTTAAAAAAACTGATAAATAGTGACTTAATTAAAAACAGTGTTAATATGCAGGCAACATCCCAATAACCTTAAAAATATACTAAATATACTTATTTAAAAATAAGTTAAGGGAAAAAAAATTGGTTTAAAAAAATCTATTGCTTTAGAAATTAAATATAACTTTAAATGATATTTTAATTCACTGCATTGAGTTTTTTTTAAATTAATTACATAATAAATATTTCCTACTTTTTCCAAAAGTTTTTTTAAAATTTTATTTATATAAAGTTGCATGTTTACCTTTAGCTACTAGGGCTTAAGTATTATATTAAAGAAACAGTGAAAGTATACAACAAAAATATTGTTGCTATCATGTAAAGTCAATACATATTTATTGAAATGTGCTTCTCTTCCGAAGTAAAAAAAAAAAAAAAAAAAAAAAAAAAAAAAAANAAAAAAAAAAAAAAAAAAATGTGTTTTTAAATACAATGTGTGGAACTGAAAAAAAGTTAAATAACCATCATTGCAAAACAAGTGTGGTAAAAACTGATTTGTGAAATAAAATATCATATTAAAACTATCAAAATTAGAAATGTGGATGAAATTGGCATAAAAAAATAATAAACCAGGTGGATTCATGATAGAATTGTCCCGAATAGAAGGCCTCAAAAAGTAATACTAACTCCTTCAGTACCAGCATATGGAGAGAAAAAAATCCTTGTCAAGGTCTGCACACTCTGAGTTTATAAGTACTAATACGAGAATACCCTATCGAGTTTACGTTTGTGTGACCTGGAGCTGCTAGCAATTGACGTTCTCATTTCATATATGATGCCGTGAGCCATGAAGGAAGAATCCCACAATCAAAAAATGTGATCATTGTCTTAAAAGGGTTAAATTCGAAATATGATAGGCAATAACTTAGTATAAAAAATATAATTAAAAAAAATAATAACGGTCAGTACAACCATCATGGGAAAAAAGTGGAATCTCGATAGAACCAAGGGTGTGTAGTGATTTTTAAATAAATTGTTTAAAAATTGTCGTTACCAAAACCCGAAAATTCAGGTGTTGTTACATCACATTAATCAAAAATATAACATCATATTAATATGAAATTAAATGAATCCAAAAACCTTCAGGAAAACAACATTAATTTACAATATAATTGTCCTGAATCAAGTGTGTAAAATAAAGCTAGTTTTGAGGTGAAAAAGGCATGCCGTAATAACCACGAGAAAAGGGCTTAAAAAATTATAAAAATCTGCATGAGCGCCTAAGGTGAACACCAAAAATATAACTAAGAAATCACAATGGAATCAAATATGCCCCAAAACAAATTTTCCAATAAATCATTCACTAATAGTTATTACTGAAATACATGTAACGTAATAACATTGTATTAATTAAAAATATAGAAATTTAAAAAACCATGTGAAAAAAAAGAGATAGCGGAACTTTATCAGTCATTTGACAGATAAAACGAGTACAAAACCAAATAATTTACAATGAATCAATTAGAAATTCTCCAATTTTAATTCGTGTGTCGTATCATTGCACAAAAAACAACACAATTTGTAAAACCACATAGAAAGGACTGAAAAAATTCTAAATAATTACTGAGATCAAAAATAATAATGAAAAAAAAAACAACTTCCAACAGTGTGAAAATAAGTGTCAAAAACAGATTACTCAAATTGGCATGAAGTAATAACATCTCATAAAAAAAAAATTGAATTTATGAGAAGGGAAAAAAAACAATAATAATAAACATACTATAAAAGTAAAAATTTAAATTCCGTTTCTTCTTTTGAAGAAAAAGTAAAAACTTTTAAGCACTTTTATGGTACCTATGAACCTTATAGAAAAAGAAAATTCAATTTAAGGAGAAATACACAAAATTTTATGTTCTGCAGCTCCACAGCAGATAAGAAAACAAAACTTAAGATAGATGTTGAAATCATTCCTGGACACAGTGAATGGTTCGCTTGCATTTCAAGAGATATTCATTTGAAATTGGAAATAGTCTATTTTTCTTCCCATATTCAATCCTCTTCTATGCCCCACTCATTTGGGTGAGTCCTTAACTAGATTGTAATATCACGGATTCAATAAAGAGGGAAAGGTAATCTTTCGTTTGAATGAAATGGAGGGGGGGGGTGGAATTGTAAAATTAAGAAGAAAAAAAAGGTGAGATAAGTGACTAAGCCTTAAAAACAGTGAATTAAAAGTCACTGTCTTTTAAAATAGTGACATTAAGTGAGAAAAGTGACCCACGTTTAACCCTGCTTTAATGAATTCATAAATAGAGTCCTAATAAAAAAATAACTGAAATTAGTTTCTTTACATTTCGATGTAAAATGCAATCTGTATTATTTTTTAAACGAAAGCCATAACTTAAGAATAACAAAACATTAAATTATTTAATATTTTGTGTACATAAAGAAATTGCCAACATAGTTATGCTGAAAAACTGCATTTACTTTCTTTCAAAAAGTTGTAGAATGTGAGAATGCTTGCGTGGTGTATCACTCTCCAGTCTTACAAAAAAGTTAAATATTGCTAATTTGTGAAGACAAAATTCCATAACATATCTGACATCCTACTTGATCTTGACCTTCTGAACAAGTTTTCAGATAAGTATTTTAAAAAAGTATTTATCAATAAATTTTGTAGAAATTTTAGTATGACACATCCCACATACCTATCTTTGCAAGTCTTTTTTTTGAAGAAATGTTTACATGAGAAATTAACTTCGAATATGTAAATATTTTGTAACATTTTAAATGGTTTTGAAATAATTATTTAATTGTCAGAATAGCTGATAGGAGACAAGGGTAATTTTTTCTCAGCATTGAATTTTGTTGCAATCATAATACGATAAAAACATTAAGTATCTGCGCACACAATCAAAAAGTATCTGCAAGTTTAATACTTTTGATAATAGAATAATTTTATTAAGGGAACGAAAACAGTTAACGATTTAAAGAACTTTATCATTCTTGACAACAACAAAAAATTATCTATATATACATGCACATTAACATTAAGAACATTAGAGAAAGATTAATATTAATGAATAGATACACATAAAAAGGAAATTTAAGAACTGCATTTAGAAGTAATTATCATATCAATTAGTATTAGTGATTTCGCTCCAAACGAAATTTCATTAAAAGATTTCCTACTGTCCCCGCAATCATTTATTTCCGCTGTAAAGCGACAGATGCGTTGAGTTGTAAAAAGCTAGCTGATTGTAGGCTCGACCGTTAATTTTTAGGCTAAAGTGGCAGTTATATATTTTCTCTTTGGGAGCAGCGTGCATACAACTATACACTGACTTTCTTTTACCATGCTTTCTTTGCACGCAAGGATGCTTTTTTTTACATTACAATAAATATTTTTATAAAGTATCTGCAAAATTAGAGAGTCAATCTACGTACAGTGTGTGTCTGTATTATCTAACTATGTGTGCAATTATAGATGCTTGAATCATTTTGCTTTAAACTGCAAGAAGTAGAAGCAGACATCAGTTTTTTAAAGGATTTAGTATTAAACCTAATAAAAAGTCTTACAAAATAACAATTGGAGATTAAAACTTCACATAGTTTCAGCACTGTATGCAAAGAAAGTGCAGATCAAACGAATAATCGGTTAAGTAGACCGGGTACTTTTGAACCAAAAACAGTAAATCTCAAAGAAAATGTCTAAAATTAAAAAAAAAAAAATTATAATTACATGCTGTAACCACATGAACACATTTTATTCTAAGTGCATGCAGATAAAATAAGCTTTCCGTATTAAAGAGGTAATTAAGCTTAGTGGTATGTTTTTTAGTGTTTCAATACATGAATTTTAATTGTTTATAAACTTATTTTTGAACCATTTCTCCAATAATTCAAGCTTTATTCATTAATTACAAATGAAAAACAGTTTAAAAATAATATTTATATCAAATTTGAAGTATTGGGGTATGAAATACTCCAAGCAACCGCACATGTAGATTTTAAGGACATGCATTGATGTGGGTTAATAACACTTGCCCATATCTAGCACAAGTATTAAAAATTTTAACAACAAACTTTTAAATATACAAGTGAGCAACACATTTTTTGACAAATTACTAGTAAAGAATCTAGAGAGATAAAAAGAAAATATCAATCTAAGTTTCAAATTGATAAAAGATTTATTTTAATGGATGAAAACAATTTTATACACACACAATTAAAATGCATATCGTAAAATAAATATATTCATGCGATATAAATAGTACCTTTAACTCTTGAAGGAACTGTTGTACAACTGGTAAGGCTTCATTGGGGCAGGTGACAGTCAGTGCAGCAACACATTTAGCAATAGAATGGTAAGCTTGCTTGTGAATCAAGTGAGAGCCACTACTTTGATTTTGTTGTCCATTGACAGCACAAATTGGTGCAGTAAGTCGCTATATGATAATGAGTTAAAAATTACTTTATTTCTCTCAACATTGAAAACAATATTTTTTAATTAGCTTCTGCTTTCAATGTGTGATATGTTAAACCAGCATACCTTATATTAATAAAAAAATCATTTATCATTTTAATAAAAGTGAACATAATTCAAAAAATCTTGTTTACCAATACTTTTTTTACCCATATTACTCTAAACTATGGTTTCTTTTTAATAATAATAATAGATATATACATATCATTATTATTATAAAAGAATATAGTGCGTGCATTCGGGGGATGGAGAATCTGCTTTACTGCCGGAGAATGTGCAGTCACGGAATAATCAGTGCGATATTTGGTGATGACTACTGAATGATACATGAAGGTTTTGGAATATGATTTCATGCCCATTATCAAAAGTGCCTCGGAGCTCAACCGCATCGAACCAAGATAGTGTTTGATATCCTGGGGAAGCACTTAGAGCACCGCATTCATTCCGGGGTACCCAGAAGCCACTAGAATGGGACTGGCTTGGCCGCCATATTCTCCGGATCTGAATACACACGACTCATTTTTGTAGGGGTATATTAAAAACAATGTGTGCAGAAATAACGTCCAACCCATAAAAGAGCTGAAAACTGCCATTCAGGAAGTCATGGAGAGTATCAATGTTCTGATACTTTTACGGGCCATCCAGAATTTTGCAATTAGTCTTGCGCCATATCATAGCCAATGATTGCAGGCATATTGAACATGCAAATGATTTATGTTTTTATTTAATATAGTTTGATAATTGTCACCCTGTATATATAAATATTGAACTAGATGTATTTATCAACAAATAGAAACACTAATTAATAAAAAATTCTAAACAATCTCGAGAGTAACAATTTCAACAAGTTACAATTAATAATGTCTAAAGCATTTGACTTTTATTGCTTTTAATATTAAGCAGGGTTTGTTGATTTAAATCAGCTTGATTTAAATCATGATTTAAATCAAATGATTTTTTTAAAAAAATCATTGATTTAAATCAACTAATTTTTTTTAAATATATATATTGATTTTAAAAGTTAAAAAACAGTGTTTTAAATTATTGATACTTCTATTATTTTGTTTTCTTAGTTTTAAAATTCATTTTAAATAAATTGCTGCATTAATTAATTTTAGTTAATGAAATTACTTTTGCTCTAGGTGTTTGTTAAATTCCAACACATTTGAAATTACATTTTCAAAAATGTTTTGATTCTTGAGATTGAAAGTACAGATTAAAGTAAACATTTAATGCTGTCTTAACCCCTTAACTGCCGCGGGCGTATATTTACGTCTCGGCCAGACGATGCATTAACTGCCGCAGGCGTATATATACGCTTTCCCGAAGTACGACGCTTTGCATTGCGCTGCTATAAATAGAACTACACCCCCGCCTTCTGAATGCAGTAAAATGACCTTGAAAGTGTTTGCCAATGTTTGTCATTGAAAGTGTTTGCAATGAATGTATTACAAATTTCGGGGGAGGAGGAATGGGAAAGGGATGTGTTGGAAAAGTTATATCATAATATTTATTGCTTGTGTGTTTCCATTTGAGTAAGATCGGGTTTATTCTTCTTTCATTTCCCGGGTATATTCGTCGAGAATCCCGCTATCAGTGCAATGAATGTGAAGGTTTATGTGTCCAACCATGATTCAGGATTTATCATACAACAGCTAAGTTTTAACATCTTTTATATTGTATTTTTATTCTTTAATTTAAGTTTTTTATTTTCTCTTTTTCCTTTTTCTTCCCTTGTGAAAGTAAACTGCTTTTAAATAGCAACGCGTGCATCTTTTCCCCCCCACCAAAACACCGCATAACTAAGCGCACTTGAGCGAAAAATGGTGGCACTGGGGAGTGAATCACGTAAATTTTACTCGGCTGGTAAGGGCTTAATATAGACTTGCATAGCTGTAGAAAGTAATTAATAAACATTATTTTTTTAAAAAAATAATGCAAATAATGTTAATTAAAATTCCACCTTTTAAATGAAAAAGCATGGAATTAAAATCTACATTATATTTTATTGGTAGAAAATGTATATTTCTGAAACTTGAGGTTATATTAAAAAGAAATTACCCTAATATGCCAAAAATAGAAAAAAAAAGGTAGAAGTAATGAGAGTCAGTTTGTAATTTATAACATATTATCATTACATGCCATCATAGAAAAAAAAAATTTCCATTGAAATTTGAGGGTTTTAAGTTAAATAATTCAAAGAAACATATCCTACTTTAAAAGAAGATTGTGAGGCAATTTAGTCTGTTGTTAAAACGCTAAACTAATACATAATTTTCTAACAACTACCACAATAGCGCCGATATACATATATGACTAGAATATATAATGTAATTGAGATTCTGATACTGATTTAAACTAGACATCAATTCATGCAATTCCTTCAATTAATTTAGTTAGTGAAATTACTTTCTCAAATCTTATTAAGGCTGATCATTGCTTTAAATCTCCTTAAGGAAATTTTAATCTGGCTAATACTTTTTCAAAAATAAAATATTTTGCTTAAAACAATGCATTTTACAAGAAGTGGAGCAACATGCATTGCACATTCATTTTATAGACTCAGAATTAAACTGTTAATCAGCAATACATTTCAGAATACATAATTAAATAGAATCATATGATCTGTGTTTACCATTTTTAAAAAAAAGTACATTAAGGAACAAATTAGATATTTTATTAAAAAAAATTAAATTAAAGTAGAAAATTTAAAATAAACTTACTCCTAATAAGTCCCTATATGTCACACCAGGCAGTTTTGTTGTAACAAGAGATTGGAAAAATTCTAACATAGAATTCAAAGCAGCACCTATGAAAGTAAATCAATTAGGAACGATAACCAAAAACATACCTTCATCAATAAAGCTTAAAATCTGGACAGTAACAAGGGCGGCGTCAGTAGGGGGTCAGGGTTTATATACGTACAACATGGTCAGCCCCCTCCCATCAGGAAAATTTTAAAGTCTCGTCGGGAAAATAGTCTGGTCACATTTTTTTCTAAATTATGTCAAAAATTCATCTACAAATGCCTAATAAAAATGCCAATAAATAAATAGTTTTTATTTATTTATTTTTAAGAATTATTATTTTAACAAAAATTAGTAAAATATATTGTAAATTCGATGTAATTTAGTTTCACTGCACTACTCATAACTTTGCCCATACATTGTTAAACTAAAGACCGGATGCGATTAGACATGGGTGAAATTGATGACTTTTCGAAGTCCCTCAGAAATCCTTTCCCATAGACACATCTTCATTTTCTTGGAAACTCAACTTTCAAACTGCTATTCTTTCTTCTGGAGAACTGAGAAGGGGATAATCACACCTCCATGCTGGGGGAATAACTGACTAAAGTCCGAGGTATAGAAAGAGACGCAGGTCCTCTTCTTTACGAATTCTTTTTTTATGTAATGTGTTTATCAATGGTTTAAGGGATCACATAATTGCTTTTTGAAATTTTCAAGCAAAATGAAAGTATAAGAATAAAATAAGTTTTTTTTATTATTTTTTTTAAATACTTTTAAATGAGGAAAATCATTTACTTACTCGGATTCAAGGTTTATATTTTAATCAACGCAATAAATATGAAGTCGGAACAGTAACAAAATATTTTTAATTTATTATCATTTTCTTAGTTGTAAAAAGATTGTTGATTGATTCAGAAAAACAATTAAACTGTTCGTATTCAATATTTTAAAATATATATTAATCAACATAACAGATTCTCATTGACTTATTTTATGTACAGTGCAAGGAACAGAAAAAGGGAACACCTTGATTAACTTTTGATTTAATTATATTTTCACATACAAAGAGTCAATACTATATTTTAAGTTACGAAGGTTAGAACAGAAAAGCGCATTCTGTTCTGGATAAACATACAAGTTTGTCTGCAGTTTTGGGTTTTTAATTTTGAAAATGCGGAAACAGCCGCAATCTGGAAGATATGGTCTGAAGTTATGACAAAGAGAGAGTTGGAAAGTTTGCGTCCTAATTTTAACTTCACTCTTCGATTATAGCCCATTATCTCGAGAACTTTTTGAGTGTATTGAAAAACGGTTGCATAAAATTACAAAAAACATTTTATACACAAATTTTTAAGCAAAAATAATTTTAAATAATTATTTGTTATTTTTTATTAGTTTATTAAATAATAGTAAAATATATTGAATTGTATGTTATACATATTTTTACATCCTTTTAATTTCACAATACAAACTTTCAGAGCAATCGATCAATTAGTTTCTGAGTTATCAAGTTTTAAAAAAGTCAGTTTGCTTAAAATTTTACTTATCTCGAATTATTCAACAGATTTCATTCAAATTTTGTATTTCTCAATTTAAAATTACCTTCCATAAAATTATATAAAAATTTGTATATTTTGCTATTTTATTTTATCCGTCGTTGAACAACCGACCCAATTTTCGGGTTTACAACTACTAATGTTCAACTCCGTAGCCATGTAATTTTGAACCAATCCAGAAGACAAGGAAACTCCTGGATAAGTACCCCCAGAGGTATTGATTTGTTACGAAAACATGGAGGACTTTGTGACTCAACAGATTTAACGTGCATCAGTCGCCATTTACTACACGGGGATTTCAAAAATCGGGATTCAGAATTTTTTCAACGCATATTATAAATATATATATGTATAAAAAATATTAAATATTTTATAACTATTTAAAACTATATTTTTTGAATGGAATTACCTTTGGAAAAACAAATTTTTGCAATTGTATGAAAAAATTTTCGTTTCTATCAAAAAGCAGATATGACAAGATTGAGATATTACCATCATTATCATTGAGCTATTATTTTGAAGCTATTATTATGCAATTACTATGAAATTAACAAAGGAGGACAAAATGAAAGATGTTTTTATTTATTTATATCATATTAATATTGAAAGCGAACATCATTTCACCTTATTTTCCTCTTTCAATCAAAATCCCTAAAATTATCAAGGCATATATATATATATATATATATGGATAACCACCAGCTAAATGACCTCTATATATGTAAAAAAGAAAAATTATTTTGCTATTATCAGCAATATTGACATATACTTCAAATGAATGCACAGTGCGCAAAAAAATAAATGTACCCACCGGAATAAATTTTAATCTTAAGTTCGGATCTTCATGTTCTAGGACTCGATCCTAATAGTTCAAGAGGGTGATATCAAATATACTGATTAATTAGTCCAAACGATATTTTAAGTTAGGATATTAGACATAGAAATGTTATCCGATTAAACATACCTTTTTTCGAAGGATTCGGATTTCTGTCCCCCAAAATATAGTAGTTTCAATCTAGAAATATTGTTTTAATAGTTTTTTCAGAAACGCGCTTGAAAGTTAGGACCATTTAATGTTAACTTTAGTTTTCGCTAGTATTAGTTCACTATACCCCAATTTTTTTTAAGCGAATTGAAAAAGTTTTGCATACAATTCCAATCAGATCAATAAATTCCTATTCGTTTTTCTAAAGATAATTTCATGCAAAATAAAAATTTTAGTAAACATTTTTTATTACTTTATTTAAGGGAAGTCGAGAAACTTAAGAAATGTAAGGCGTACAATTTTTTCATCATTTGCAAATTTAAATGTCAAAATACAAAATTTAAGCAAAATCGGTCAAATAAGTCCTGAGAAATAAAATAAAAAACTCTTATCTTTCTAAATTTGGTCCCATAACTTCTTCATTTTTAGTGTCCATTTTTTGTGACTTAAAATTTGTAACTATGAAAGCAAAAGCAAATTTAAATTGTAGAGGAAAGAATGTTTCGCATTGACATGTGATAAACAATAATCAATTAACTGTGTGAAAGGTTATTCGTTGCAGGCGTATGTCAATGTGTAAAAAGCTTTTGCAGGGCGAAACAGAAATCTTGGTAGAAAGTGTGCTTTCAGCTTTGCAGAGAAACAAAAACATAGACAGACAAACAGCAGCCATGTGTGGCAATTTTTTTTAAAAATGTAAGTTAGTTAATATTCGTTTCTCGGACGCAAATTAAAAATTTGCAAATTGAAAAATTTGCAAATTGAAAAATAATTACAAATTTGAGCGATATTGTTTGAATCTTATATTTTAAGCTGATGGACTTACTCTTTCCTCAAATGGAGAAATTAGCATTTTGCCGGACATAGATATTCATCTTTAAAAAGAAAAAGGAATCGCAAGGAGAAATGTTATAAGTCTCTTTGTATTTATTTACAATATATATTAACATGGAGTACCCTGATTAAAATAGCCTTTTTTTTGTCCGTAAAATTATACTATGTAACAATTTAAAAAAATTCGATTTTTCAATTTCATGGGTGTAACCATTTGAAAGTTCGTTCAAAACGGGGCATGATATCTTTAGATAGAATACGTGGATTCAAAAAATGTACTTAAAACTTTATTTGCAAAACATATAAATGATTCAAAAGCCAATCAATGCATATAAAAATAATATTTTATGTCAAAATGTTCTTTAAATGTGCATGAAATTTAAAATTTTTATTAACGAATAATTTTTGCGTTATGAGAGTATAGCGGTTGCTGCTACAACTATTTTTTTTTTTCATTACAGAAGTGATTTTTACGCTTACAATGTATGGTAAATTACACCATACAGTACAAAATACATTGATAACAGAAAAAAAAATTAGATTTAAATTTACATTAAAGGGAATCTGAACATTATGGTATCAATATTAGTGATTCTAGATTTAGAAACACACTTGAAAAAAATGATGTGAGAAAAAAAAATGTAAAGTATAAAATTCGTTTCAATTTAAATATTTTGAATTAAATTTTTTGAGCCCCCCTGTCGGGGGAGACTTGACCCCTTGTCGGGCAGAGTCTGGCTCCATCCTTGAACAGTAACAATTAAAAATAGCTTTGATTAATAATAATTCAAAATCAACTGCTTAATTTGAGAAACAATAAAATATATTAAATAAAAAGAATATTTTATATTAAAGCTTCAAGAGATAATAATATAATAAAAGAACATTTAAAAAAAATCAAATTAGATATTCAATATTATAGTTAAAACTTGATTATCCTCAGCAGGGTTGGGTTTTTGCCATCAAAAACTGGTTTTTGACATGACAGTGATAAAAACCGTGTTTTTAAACCATCAAAAACCTACTGTTTTCCTTAATTTATGGCATATAGCGAACAATATATTATTTTCACATAATTGCCTTTATAAATGAATGTTGTAAATGATTGCTATTGATTTTGCAACTATATACATGTATTCTTATAGAAGGATATACATTCATACAGAAATATTGTAATATACTTATTGAAAATAGTGATACTTACTTTTATCATTATAGCTTGATTTGCAAAGGATTCAAAATTTTGCACTTCTTAATTGTTAGAAATAAACAAACAAACAAAAAAGCTTGGAACTATTAATAAATTCAAGAACTAAAAAGAAGAATTTAAAATTTGGCATTTCTTAAATATTAGAAATAAGCTAAACAAAACTTTCAAAACTTGTAACTACTAACAAACTCTAAGTCAAGAATGACTTGACATTCTTCAGTAATGTAATATGCCAAACAAAATGATGCTTGGAAATGTTGAAAATTTTGTTTAGTATCCTAATATTTTACTTCAAATAGTATGTTTTGATATAATCATGTTGGGAAAATGCAAGAATCTGTTCTTAAATATCTTTTAACAACTTTTTTTCTAATTTTATTGCCCAAAAATGAATTAATTTGAAATTACAAGCAGTTAAACTCAAATAAAAATACAGTTTTACCAGAACTATGGGTTTTTGACATGACGGTAAAAACCATGGTATTAACCGTCATGTGTCAAAAACTTGCCAACCCTGATCCTAAGTAATTGAGACCGAACCAAATAATTTGAATTAAAGAGCTTCACTATACATTCATTCACTTTCACCAATAAAATCTAAATATTAAGAGGATTAACTTATAACACGTTTAATTTTAACAGAAGATGGAAGATATTATAGTCAACTGATCAATAAATGAATAAAATAAAAAAATCAGCTTTTTATAACTACATTTTGTAAAAAGAACAAAAACAGCCACTTTAATTAATTAACAAAGTTTGTATTTAGTGCTCCCTCTAAATGGTCTCAAACAACACAAAAAAAGGCTTTCTATAGTAAAGACCACGTGCATGAACGTGGAATTTCCTATTATGATTTAACGCTTTCACTTTGGTGATATAATATTTATAACAGTGATACATGATTTATGATTTTTACCATTTGTGCAGAATAGGGATAATATCACTGATATTATCCCCATTCTGCACAAATGGTAAAAATCATAATTTTTTATTAAAAATCAAAATCCAAAATATCATATTTTTTTTATTACCAAACAGAACTTAGATTGAAATTAGCAAAGTACTTAAAATCAATTAACAATATTAAAACTAAGATACTTAATATTTCTAATGAATATTGTTAACATTACTAATTAGTAATAACTTAATTTATCATTACAAATTAAAAGTAAGATGAATAAAAGCACTATTATTTTTATTTAAGCTTAACTATCTCATAAATTGCAAAACCGTCAAAGATCAAATGAAGAGTGAATTAATTTAGACCAGAAAACATAATTTAAAAAATCAATGTTCTAAATTGCGCTTACCAAAACACGTTTTTTTTTTCATATTTAAAATATATGTATATATATATATATAAATAAGTATAATTAAAATATTTATACTGCTGATATTTAAACAGCTATTTTATAACTAAGTAGTGCAAAATTATAATTGTAAGGTTACACTCCATTTTAAATTACAATTAGTCTCTTATTTACATCACTCCTAATTCTTTGGATAAAACCTTCACAATTAATTAAATCAAACTTAAAAACAATAGATCACTATCACCAGACACTGAGTTTCAGTAACGGTCCACGCTCTACTGATTGTTGCTGCCCAAAATAGCGAAAAAGGGTCTCATTTAGCGACAAAAGGAACAATCAATCCTGCCAAAATATGAGAAATACAAAAAAATAATAATAATAAACTAATTAATAAAATAAACGTAAAAAAATTAGCGGTCATCTTCAAAAATTTTTTTCTTTTGGAATAACAATTTAAGTTAATGATCTAAATAACTTGGATTAATAATTTAGATCATTAACTTAAATGAGTGGGAGAAAAAAATTTTGCTAAAAAACATTTTTCCATTTAGTTAATGTTTCTTTTGGCAGAATAGTCAAATTGAAAGTAACTTCAGTAGAGATTTGAGTGCCAGAGCTAGTCAGAAAATGGTTGAAAACTTGATTGTAAGATTTTAGCCACGCAAGAAAGCGAGTTAGCAAAAACATAGTAGAGTATTCATTATAAGTTCTAACACAATATAATTACCTTGTAACAAAGGTGAATGAACTAAATTAAGTATTTCGGGTAATATGGCATCAGTAACATTCAGTAATGGCTGCTTTTGAACTTTAGAAATCGATGTCAGTAAACTCATTGTCAACTAAAAAGTAAAAAATTAAACATTCATACAAGCAAGTTGACCATATTAACATTAAAATAAAACAATGATTGATAAATAACGTTTGCAATGTTTTAATGAATAAAAAGAGTACAATTGTAACATTTTAAAACATCATTTTATAGACTAATATAGATTTGATTTGCATTAAATCTATGCGAATCTTAATACAATTTGTTTTTGCTCTTTTTAATCTATATAAAAAGTATATTCAACATTTAGTGCCGTTATACTTAGTTTTTAGTATATATATATATATATATATAATAAATAAATACAAGAAAACACTAAGAAAGTTAAGAAAAACAATAAGTTTTATTTATTGCGCTTAAGCTGCAAGTAAACAGAACTCATTAGATAAGTTCAAAATGAAGAATAAAACAAAGAAAAATT